AAAATAATTTTAGACATTGAAAACATTTCAGTTTTAAATTTAAACATTAAGGCATTTTAAAAATGAAGATAAAAGGGGTGTTCATTTACATGGTCGACCGACCAGTATTTTAAACATCTGCGTCTGATCCAGAGTGGTCGGCTGCAATCAGCATCTGACCCAGCGTGGGCGGCTGAATCGAAACTCACCAACCTAATTTTTTAATGAGATTTGGGCGCGAAGTAGGTACCAAAATTCTTATTGGCTTTGGTAGGCTTTCCTCATCTTCTATCTACCACTTTTTCAGGCCACGAGCCGCCGCTGCATCATATGTGATTACTGGTCTAATTTCTGCTCTTTAAATTTTCAGTTTAGTATTTTGAGTAAGCTTTTCGTCTTTGAAGAAGTTGTTTTATTTCCAGTAAGTTCTGGTTCCTGTCAGAATTGTTTTACTGAAAAATATGCTTCTATCATTAGTTCCATTAAGTGAGACTCTAAGATATTTAGAGCATTCTACCTTTTCATGTTCATATTCCCCAAAATTTAACCTTGGTCCATTAACTACATTTTTCCTAAAAGGTATTTTGTTTATCTTGATTAGTGCCAAATCACTCTTGGATGACTTCTCGCTCAACCTCGCAAATTCTTACTTTAAACTGTCTAGGTTTCTGTGAATTAATACTATGTCGTCAGCTTAAGTTAGTCGTTAGTTATTTCGGTAGCTTTTATTGTTTCTTCTATAGCAACATTAAATGGTGACGTTTTTATTCATTTCAAATATAAATATAAATATAAAATTAATAAAATTCATTTTATTAATTTTGATTATTCTCTCCAAATGGTGGACATTTTGAAACGGCGCGCGGCGCTTTCTTGTAAACATTTTGTTTTAAGTATCCCCATAAGACTTAATCAATAGGGGTTAGGTCAGGGGATCTAGTAGTCCAAAAAAGATATGAACGTATGTAAATAACGTATTTTAATGAAACATATGTTCAAGATATTACCTAACATTCAACATTCAATGTACTGTGGCATGTGACACCGTCTAGTTGGAAATAAATACATTGACGTTCTTGCAAGGGTAGTCCGTTTATAAAATCATTGATATGAGTTTGTAAAAACTGCAAATAACGTTCGGCATTCATAACTTGGTGAAAAAAATAAGATCCTATTAACCTGCTATTATAAATGCCACACCACACGTTCGTCTTAAATTAATATTGGTCACCAGACTTTGGATTTTCGTCAGCTTATCAGCGGCAATGTTGTGACGAGACCGTTCTATTTATTAAAATTATTTTTTACACCAGTACTCTTAACTTTATTTACTATTTTCGTAGCAGTGGAATGATTTATATTTTTATTGGGATGTCTATTATTAAAAATATTAGCTGCCTTTCTATGTGTTTTATAATGTTCTTCCACGATCAAAACAATTTCAATTCTACCTTCTATACTTGGGCCTTGTAGGTTGCATATCTTCTGTAATGTTACAGGCATGTCTAATAAATTTTATAGATACTTTTACTTTCTAACAAATTTATCTAAATACAATTGATTTTTTGAAAGTAAATGTAAAACATATCTTGCTATAAACAAATCATGTGTTTATCAGTGCATTCTGGATTTCACGTCTTATTCTTCTTCTTCTATGCCTTCTATCGTCCATGTTTGGACATAGGCCTCTCCCAACTCCTTCCATCGGTCTCTATCCTGAGTAACATTTTTCCTAATTGTTCCGGCTATTCTTTTAATGTCATCAACCATCTCATATGTGGTCTTCCTCTTGATCGTTTAATTTCGTAAGATCTCCAATGTTGTAGTATTCCAACGTTGGTCTTTTTGTCTAGCAGTGTGGCCCGCAAAGCTCCATTTAAGTTTGGCAATTGTTGTTGTTATGTCTTCGACTTTTGTTTTTGATCTTACCCTGTCGTTCCTCTTTTTATCTGACAGTCGTATACTTAACATTGTTCTTTTCCTGTTCTTTCTGTTGTGGCTAGTTTATTCATGTTTGCCTTGGTTAGGGTCCAGGTTTGACATCTATATGTCATGATAGGAAGAATGCATTGGTTGAACACTTTGCTCCCCAAGTATTGGTATATTTTGCGGTTCTTAAGTATCCAACTAAGTTTTCCAAATTCTGCCCAAGCTAGTCTTGCTCTTCTAGTAATTTCTGCACTTTGTTTCTCTTTGTCAAGTTTCAGGATGTCGCCTAGGCAGATATATTCCTGGACTTGTTCTATCTCACTGCCATTTATAGTTATACGTCTGGGGTCATCTGTGTTTGTCATTAGTTTTGTTTTTTTTTATATTCATTTTTAGGCCGACGTATTGGGAGCTGCCTGCTAGTTCCTCCATCATAATTTGCAGTTCCTCGAATGTGCTCGCTATAATCACTATGTCGTCAGCGAATCTGAGGTGGTTTAACTTGTTGCCATTAACGTTAATGCCATAGATTTCACGTAACAACAGTTAAACTTGCATTGATATTGTAGACAAAAATATGGATATGGCGAGGCATTAGTAGAATGAGGGAAAAATAAATATTTATCATACTACGTGTTTAAATTATAGAATTGTTAGAAAACATTTTGAAACGATAAGGTTATCATATGTTTCTTGATCACAAGAGATAAAAATATTCAAAAATGAAAAATGATTCAAAATACAAAGATTAATAAAAAATAACAAAACTTATTTTTTCAATGTAAATGTATGTCTTCGTCTTCTTTTTCTTCCTTCTTGTATGTAGGCTTTAAAGCTTTTTTCTTTTTCAATATTAGCCTCCTAAATTGTTTAAATTGTGGCACCATCTTTTTCTTGGTCTGCCAATACTTCTTCGTCCATTTGGTGACTTATTTCGTGCTATTAGTACTATTCTATCCTCTACCATTCTACTGATGTGCTCGTTCCACTTCTGTTTTTGTTTTGTCACCAATCCATTTATGTCTTCTATATTGCATGCTCTTCTTATGTTTTCGTTTCTCTCTCTATCCAACAGATTTTTCCCTGATAATCGTCGGGGTATTTTCATCTCTTTTGTTTCTATTAGTCACTCGATTTAAATGTGTCAGGTCTTGTCTCCGCCGTGTATGTTAATATAGGTCTAAGTGCTGCTTTATAGATTCTTGTTTTTGTGTCTTGTCTTAGGTGTTTGTTCTTTCAGGTTGTGTCATTAAGAGATCCCGCCGCTTTACTGGCTTTTAAGCTGTGTTGTCCTTATTTTCCCATCAATTTTGATTTTACACCGTAGTGGGTATTTAGATGTCGTACATTTGGCTTTTCGTGCTGATATTATCATATTGTATTTCTTGACTGTTGTACTGAAGATGTGTGTTCTTTCGAGCTCGTCTTCTGCTCGGCGATTAATGCGGCGTCGTCTGCATAACATAATATTTGGACTTCTTTGTTCCCCATTCTGAAGCCATGACCTTTTCGTACTGCTTGTATTATTTCGTCCATTATTATATTAAAGAGAAGTGGGCTTAACGAGTCGCCCTGTCTGACTCCGCTTTGTACTTTTGTAAATGTATGTAATTGTCTTCTTCTTCTTCTAGTCCATGACCGTTATCGATCGTTGGATATCATGTTGGCTACCATATTCGCTATCGTGACTTTATTGACAGCAGCTCTAAATAACGATGTAGTTGATTTTCCATACCATTGCCTTAGATTTTTCAGCCATGATGTTCTTCTTCTACCAGGACCACGATTACCTTGGATCTTTCCCTGAATGATCAGATGTAAAAGATCATATTTTTCAGGGTGTCCTCATAATATGACCGAAGTATTCCAGCTTGCGTTTCTTTATTATATTGACCAGTTGTGTTGTTTGGTTCAGCCGTCTAAGGACCTCCTCATTTCTAACTCTGTCGACCCAGCTTATTTTCAGTAGTCGTCTGTATACCACATCTCAAAGGCTGTCAAGCGTTTAAGCATAGCCTCAGTTAGGGTCCACGCTTCTACTCCATACAGCAGGACAGGAAAGATGTAGCAAGATATCATACGAACTCTAAGGTCAATGCTAAGATCATGACTGCAAAGTACGTTTCTCATTTTTACAAAGGCAGCTCGGGCTTGTTCTATTCGGCTTTTAATTTCTGCGGTTGGATCCCAGCTCTCATTGATATTACTGCCGAGATACACGAGTTTCTCTACTCTGTCCAGTGTGGCATCTCCGACTTTTATACGTCATCATGTATATAATTTTGTTTGCTAACGATCATATATTTAGTTTTCTTAACGTTGAGTTTTAGTCCATACTGATCACAAGTCTGTTTTTATTTTGTTCATTAGATTTTGAAGTCTTCTCCGCAATTGGCAAGGACTAAGGTATCGTCGGCATATCTAATATTGTTGACGGTTACTCCATTCACAATAATACCTTCGGTTGTCTCCATTAAGGCTTCCTTAAATATTTCCTCCGAATATAAGTTAAAAAGTAAAGGCGACAATATACAGCCTTGTCTCACTCCTCTTTTTATATTTATTTCATCCGACAGTTCTTGTTCAACCTTTATTCTTGCCACTTGATGCCAGTATAGATTTGTAATTATTCGTAGATCTTTATCGTCCAATCCAGCTGTTTCCATATGTAATTGTACGAAATATATATTTTGAAATATAAAGATACTTTACTCTTGGGCGAAATTCATAGTTTTTGACATACCTCGTATACGAATAATAAAATTTGATATCTGATGATTGTTTATGATGATGATTTGTTTGTGATGATTTTAGTTTTTGGCACTTTTTGTGAAGAATGTTTTTTTTTTTTGTAAAATGAATATTATTTATGAATAAAAAATTTCCATATAGTTCCAACTTAGTGTGACATATTTTATATATAGATAATGTGAGAAAAATTTAAGTTCATTGACTTCTCAGTTTTTGTTTTATATCTGACAAATAAGCTTCGAATCTATGAATAAGCCTAACAACTTCCAATCTATAAACATTTTACAAAAATTACTGTTGGTAATTTTTCAATTAGTATATATTACCTATGTTTGTTTCAGCATCCATATTTCCCTCACCTGGTTCCTACTGGAGTAACCCAAGCGCAAACCTCTACTCCAATATAGCAGCCAGCACGCACTCGATCAGTCATCATGCAGGGCCGCATCTAGGTGCACCTCCTCTCGGCTCTTATCCACACTACGCATGACCTGCTTCGAGCTCATCATCAGGATCGGACTGGACGAAGAAACTCGCCATGTAGAAAGTAGAAAATCCCTGAGATGAGTTGATTCTAACATATTTTAAACCACCGACCAAGAGTTGGGATTTAAAAATGTTATAAAAATGTAACTCAAGATTGTGGAAAGTGGGCGGGGCGAGAGGTTTGAGGATTTGTTAATTTTACAAATTGTGGTAGAAAAAATTGTTTAATATTAATCAATAATGTTAATTAAGAAAAAGTCATTTTCTATCAAAAAATTATCAAAATGTTGATTATAATTTTAGTACTTTTATGGATGCTACTTATTTTAATAATTAAGTAATCTTATTTCTTATATTCTTGTTTCCAAATAGATTATTTTCAATTTTGCAAATATAGCTTCTTAAATATCTGTGATCTTAAATCTTTATTACCTTTTAATAACTTTAATTAATATTTACTGTTTTCAACATATTTATGTAACTTAAATAATATTGTGTAGTATCCATAAAAATATATAAGTCTAGGCATATACAGAATAGATCTCAAAAAGCTGTTGAAATAGTATCGGTTTCATGTAATATTGAAACTTACATTATTTTCTCTTGTACTGAGTAACAATAGTCAATCGCCAACTCCTTTATGAGCAAAAAAAATGTATTATATGAAATGTATAAATAAATTCACAAATCACAATATCCCGTATATACATAGGCAAGATATGTTGCTCTAAATATCGTCATAGACCTGAGATTTTCCATTTCTAGTCAGTTTCTCCAAAAAAAAATGTATAGTTTAAAAAACGGTAGCAGTATAACAGTGCAATGTTTTTGTATGTAAATAAATTTAGTAAAAATGTGTAAAAAGGCAAACAACCGTATAATCGGTAGTCTGTGATAACATTTTAACTACGTGTTTTAAATTTGCAATATATAGATATGTATTTTTGATCGTTTTTATCAACTTTGTATTTAAATAAGCATTCCGTTATACGTTTTAGTATGTATTTATTCCGTTAGCTATGTTTGTCATATCCGTAGAAATGCGTAACGGTTTTAAATATAATACCCGTAATAATAAACAAGTTTTGACTTCGTAACGATGTAATGTAAAATAATCCGTCTTATTGAAGCAAATGCTACAAAAAACTGATCTATAAACGTACGATATAGATATGTAGAATAACACAAACACCTCTAGAAAATATATAAAAAATATGGTAAAAACTCAATGAAAAATGATATGCAAAAGGAAAAAATGATACTCTACACAAAAAGTTTCAAAGTCAAGCAGAAATATTCAACTTGCATTTTATTGTCAGCAAAATAAGATCAAATACATGAACAATTTACAATGTTTGAAAAGCTAAATAACCAATGGTCCGAATTATTCTTCCTATGCCGTCCTCATTAACGGAGGTTGGTGACCACATTTCTAAAAGTTTCTCTGTCTTTTGCAACATGGTATAATTCGTCTACAGTCATGTTTGTCCAGTCTCGAATATTTTGCAGCCATGACTTCCTCTTTACCCATTCCCTTTTTTGCTATCGACTCTACCCTGCATGATGACCTGCAGAAGACTATATTGATCGTTCCTTAGTATAACTGTCCAAGGTATGCAGTCTTGCGTACTTTTATTGCTCTCAACAATTTTTTGTTTTGACCCATCCTTCTCAGCACTTTCTCATTGGTGACCCTCGTGAATTAAAGAGTATCAAATTAAACATATTTTCTCTATCGAAAGCTTTAATTTATATGTTCTACACGGCAAATTAAATACAGTCTACAATCTTATAACACATAAAAATTTGTACAATTCATTTGTATTTTCTATCTAGCTATGTTGTGAATAGAGGCCTTGCAAAATTTGGATAATATGAATGCAACCTGAGTGTCCCCTAATAGCCAAAGAGGAGATGTCCTATGTGAAGAGGATAAATATATAATGGTACCAATTTGTTTCACACTTATATCATTTCTCTAAAATATGGCTTTTTATTTAAAAAAGAAATAAATTGCAGGGACTTTAGAACAGATCCAATAGAAGAAGACGAAATACGAACAATCAGTGTAGATGAGATAAGACGAACCTCAGTAAATGAAAAACGGGAAAGCCACAGGACCGGAAATATCCTTATTTAATTAATAAAGCTCGGACTATATACAGCCCGGCACAATACCAATAAAAATTTGTTACGAAAATTGTTAATAAGCGTCTAATCAAACAAAAAAATATTCCAAAAAATTAGATCTTGTGGAATTCAAAAATTACAGAGGTGTAAGCGTTATCAGCTCATTGGGGAGGTTGTACGGTCAATTGATAAAATAACGAATGGAAAGCCAGTATGAAGAAATAGAAGATCAAAGTGGATTTCATGCTGGCAGATCTTGTGTTGATAATATATTTGCAATTTAACAAATTAGAGAAAAGAACAGCCACAAATTTACCGACTTATTTAGGTTTCGTTAACTTAGAGAAGGCCTATGGTATAGTAACCTTAAAAAATTATTTGCAATGTTGACGAAGGCAGGCCTAAGTAATACGTAAATTAACGCTATACTGAACATGTACAAAAATGCAAAAGTGCGTTTAAATGAAGAATAAAACTTCAGACGCATTTTCTATCACAAAAGGCGTGAAGCAAGAATCCAACTCTATTCAAAATTTATATTTAGGAAGTATTAAAGAACTATGAAGAGAAAATGCACAGATTGGAATAGAATCTATTCTTCGTAGACGACCAAGTGATTATGACAAACGACGAGGAAGACATGGATTATATGATTCTAAGTTTAACCGAAGAATACGAAAATTGAGGACTTACCATCAAAATCAATGAAACGGAATATCTAAGAATAAAGGACGAAGAAAGAGACCCACAACTTCGATTATATATTTTTAAAAATGCAAAGAATTTAAATACCTATGGACAGTGGTAGCCAAAAGAAGAACATCAAAACGAGACATTCAGCAGAAAATATAAGAGGGCCGAAATGTGGTACAAATTATAAACTGATTACTTTGGTCTCCTAAAATCAGTTTACGAACACAAATGGCAATTGCAAGTCGGTTGTAGAACCAATTTCGACATACGGATTGGAATATTGTCAAAATGACGATGAAAGTAAAGACAAAACTGGAAGTGGTAGAAATGGGCGTGTCGGATGTAAGAAGAGCGTGCCGGAAAGACTTGATTACAAAAAAATAAGAAGAAGAACAGGAAGAATTGACAATACCGTAGATACAATAGAATCAAAAAATTGTTTATCGTACGGGCATGTAATTCAATTGGAAGACGAACGATGGTCAAAACAGGCGTTAAACTATGTTCCTTGTAATAGAAGAAGGCGAGGAAGACCAGCATTAGAATGGAGAGAAGGAGTGAGAGAAATAATGAGAGTTAGAGTCATAAATGAGGATGCAGGGACTGAACGAAAGAGGTAGAGATCAAAATGCGGGTTTTTTTTATTGGCTTTAGGGTGAAATGCGGGTTAATGCAGAGTTGTAGGGCCGCGTAGATAGATGTCACAAATCACAACCTCCAGTTCAATATATAATAAATCAGTGCAAATCCTTGCCTCTACTGATGATATCAATATTATTGGAACACAAAGAAAATGAAGTATGTGAAAATAATTACGCAACCACAAGTCCTACGATCACTTGTTATAAAAAACGACATCATCGAAGCAATGAACGAATTTGTATACCTGGGAGCGCTCCTTAACACTGTGAATAATACCGCAAAGATAAACCGCAGAATTTGTACAACCAACATATGCTAGTTTGGTCTCAATCTAATTCTACAATCCTCAATTACATTGAAAAGTACAAAAAGTAAAACTCTAAAATAATACGCCCAGTCCTAACAAATGTTTTGGAAAAAAAGAAATAAGGCGAATCTATGGAGCGGTGAATATAGAGTGTGGAAAAGACGATACAACTTCGAAAGGACGTATGAGGTGGTTAGGACATGTAATGGGGATGGAACAAACTGACCCAGCTAGAAAAACGCTCCTTGATAGACCCATTGATCAAAGAAAAAACAGGAAGACCCAGAACAAAGTTCCTTTATAACATCGATGAAGACATAAGAAATATGAAAATACGTGCTTGGCGGAGAAAGGCGATGTATAGGGACGACTGGGGAGAAATTCTTTAGGAGGCTAGGACCCACGCAGGGTTGTAAAGATAAATTGTCTTGCATTTTTATTCCAGGTACTAGAATTGTATTAACTAAAACAGATACAAGAAAGGCGTAATCAAAGAAGATGAACAGTATAAATTATGTTATTGTAAATGAACGGGTAACTAATAAAAAAAAATTAATGGAATTATCACATCCTTAAATTAAGTGAAGATAGTGCAATATGAATTTTAACAACCAAATCACCAAACGTTATATCGAAGGTTGCATCGAAGAAATTGCTGTATAATAACACAGCTTGAATATTTCTGTTGTTTACCAATCACTTGCGATTTTTTTTTGTATCTACAGGTTATATATGGACGGAGCTAAACTAAACTAATAAACAGAATTAATTGTATATTTTGCATTATTTTCTGTAATTATTACAGCATTATTGTAATAATCGCTTTTTTAAGAGTTAATAATGCGTCATATCCCAGCGAGAAGTCACTAACTAACATTTTGATGTTATGGAGATATTTGAAGTTAAAGATAAAATCTTCACTATAAATCAGGTTTTTAAAATTTTCTATAACAAATTTTTTAAGGTGTATTTATTGCTCTTAGATTCATTAATCTGAAGTTACCAATACTCTGAAGATACTTTACTATGTATTTTGTGCAATAGTATCAGTTAGTGATTTTTTGCATAAACAACAATAATAAGTTCTAGTAATAATTATTTATTACGTATAATAGAATTATTACATATTATTATATTTATTACATAATACATCGTAATAAGTTATAATAAAATAGAATATTAAAAAAGTTCCTCTTCTTCGTCATCCTCAACGGCTGGCTCGGTTATTGTAT